CACGTGGACAGCACGGGTGAACGTAATCCCCAGGCTATATAGTACAGACAAAGGTTGTTTAGTGTAAAACACATTGCTCCCAGCTTATGAAAGCACTCTAAGGATACACATAACACCAGAGCTCACTGATGCTCCCACTGAGTTCAATGGACAACCCCACACTCAGAAACATAACCGGTCCTTTAAAGACCCTCTTGGTTTGGGAGCCTGTCAACCTGTCTCTTGCAAAACTACAATATGGTAAAACCGTGATTTCTTTCTCCCAGCTCCCTTCTCCCTTTTCAACAGTTGAGAGAGTAGCGACAATCTCTGTAAGTACCGCTGAGGGCTGCAGACTGTCATCCTCTGTAAATATGAAGCACGAATACCTGGTGGGAGAGACGCAGCACATACCTGATCCTTTGCTGGTACCAGCAGCTCTTCGATCATCATGCTGTCCCGGGCATAAGAACTTCTGTTCAGCGTGTAGGACCTATCCGAACTGAAGGAGCGGAGGCTGTTGTATTTACCATTTATCATAGAAAGGGCAGATGACAATGAGATGAACAAAAAATAAAAGCAAAAAAATTAATACATGCAACTTCCAGGGATAGCATAAGATGGCTGAATATACATAATCTGTGAAATAAATACAACGGAAAAAATTGAATAATAAGTATTTCACTATAGTTAATAGCCTCTTCTCTACAATATACATATGCGAAATCACAACAGATATTTAGTGCTCTGGCAGCAATGCCACAGCTGTAGAACAGATCCAGAAAAGTGTATTTGAGTATTTAGATGTACTTTGATAAATGTCTTCACGCCCTAATCCCGAAAGGAGACCCATGAGGGCAGGTCCCAGGGGAGCTGCGGGTAGGTTACAGTGCCTGCCCATATGGCTCAGATTGCTGAAGCAGGTTTACCTAAGAGCAAGTTTTGTGTGTTGTCATTCTCTTTGTGGCTGAACCACTTTTGACTTTGTTGTAAACACCCTAGTTATTCATTTAGTCAGAAAAAAAGATAATAATTTTTAAATTAAAAAGACAGAAAAGATATTTGCTTACTGATGATTAAATACAGATTCTAATGCTTTGGGAATTATTTTGTGCACATTAGACTATTTAGAAATAACTATGAATGTGTTGCAACTAAATCAAGGTAGGAGTGTGTTACACTTAACCCTGGAAGATACATCATGGTATGTACTAAAAACATGCTGCAGGCCTCAACATGCTTGCTACGTGACAAAAAAAGAAAAAAGTAGTAAAAAATGTGAATTAATAAAAAGCAACATCCAACAACATATTACACTTTAGAACTAGCAACACTTTTCAGACTTAAAACTCTACAACTTGTTTCATGCATTTTGCAGTTGCTAATCAAACTGTTCTAGACCCTTAGCACACGTTGGTCCCTGTGCTGGAAGCAGAACTGGGATCTTAACTACACACTGTAGGAAAAAGTTAAGTAGACTTTTGCATGATAAAGGGCATAAAGACATAAAGTTATATTTGTTAAAACAGAGGGATATCCTCTAAGGTTAAGCCCACTCCCCTATCCCACCCAAAAATAAAAGCATGTCACTTTTCAATGCTGAGTAAAATGAAGATGAGCAATGGCAGCAGCAGAAAGATGAAACACGATGCCATGCCTTCTTACCTGACTTTTGGACTAAAGCAATTTACAGTGGAAAAGAAACAGGAGAAATAGAAAGCAAAGAATCAGACAGGAAAAGCAAGATGTTATGGCTGGATGGCTTATATATTTAATGTGTTTATTTTTTAATGTTACACTCAGAATCAGTAGTAAGATACATTCACTGAATACTTTTTGCTAAGTAAAATACTTCAACAGGAAAAAAACCCACTGTATTTGTCTCCTCTGAGCATAACATGTGTAATGTAAAAAATGAGTTACGCAGCAACAAATAGTAATGGCACTGCTAAAATCAGAAGCATGGCAACATTAGATTTCTCTCAAAGAAAAGATAACACAAGGTTGAACCCTCAGATCTACCTAACGGATCCTGACTGTGAAATTCTGCTCTCCCACCTGCACAGTGAGAATTTAGACGTTTGAAGGGAGAGTACTACGAGTAAAAGGTGTCTGTAAATCAGTGCCCAGCTCTGCACACAAAGCGCACTCCTCCTCCACCATCACTGCGGCGCTTCAGGACTGACCACATCTGATGGTGCTGTACCATGACCTTGCTCATGCCAACCTCTGTCTAAAAGCAGCACGTCTGCTTTGCCAGGTAAGTTTACAAAGAAGGAAGATTCTCCCTTCGGATCAGTTTTGCTGATTTTCTAGCTAATGGACTATTTAAAAGCAGTTCAGCATTCCTCATGAATGTATTATCATATAAATAGTCATTAACTTACCTAAAAATTTTAAATGAAGCAAAACATGGCTGGGCACTACTAAAAAGCACTGTACTTTTTTTTTTTTTTTTACGCATTCAGAATAACCCGACTTTAGTTTGTCAGCTCGTGCTTTTTGGTAAGGAAAATATGGCTGGGCACTACTAAATTTGCACTGTATGCTTGCATTTCTAATGTGACCATAATAAACAAGACTGAAGGGTAAGACATCTAAAGCTTTACCTTATGGGAGTTGCCATTTGCTGTTAGACAATGAACTCACTTTTTAAAGCAGATCTTTAAACTACAGCATAGGAAAAAGTCCTCGGGGCTCCAGCTTATGAGGTTTAATTATTAGCTTCAGCACAATTCAACTGTCAGTAAATACAGTGCAAATTCACAACTAGAGAAGTAATCTCTGCTCACACAGCTTCAATTGTTTTGAGCAACGCACATCACAGGCTTTAGCAAGATTCAAAAATGAAATCTAAAGCATTGATCTAGAAAGACCCGGGTTGAAATCAGCATTAGTCAGTTTATAATGTTTTATCAGGTTCACAGAAACTGTGGCCTGTTTACTGTAATACACAATCCACTCCCTGTCAAATGAAACCCTGCAACAAATATAGGATATAACTGCTTTTTTATTTTGGGGAGCATTTTTCTTTAATACTGGCTACCTCGTATGGATTACTCACTAGCACCTTTAAAGAAATAAAAGCACCAAAATAGCAAAATGATTGTAATTCAGTTTTTCTGGCACTTATATTGTTCAGCTAAATTAGCCCATTAAGGAACATGCTACTGTGAGTATCAATCTGACCAGGAGTAATGAAAAGAAACCCAGTTTTGTTGACTGTTCTAGATCAGCTTCCACGACACTCACAAACTGCTGGTGAAGTGGTACCTTGGAGATGTTCGGAGCATGAGCAAATACCAGAAAAAGTGAATAGCCAGTTTTCTGTATCATTGCCATAAGAAGCCAACATGAATAAAGAATATGAAATAAAACTGTAATGAGCATATGCTTTAAAGGCACAGTATTATCATAACACGGAAGTACACCCCCTCTACTTCGTTTCAAAATAGACTCCAGCTTTGTGTGAAAGAGCGCGCTCGGTTTGTAAAAACTTTTAACTGTGGCGACACGCAAACACAAGAAACAGCAAATACAATACCTGGCAGAGCGGGCTCCCAGGCTAAAGCCCATGTATCCTTCAGCAGGCAAAGAATCATCTCCCAACTCTTTCAGATCCTGGGGTCCGAGGTATTTGTCCGTATCGCCTGTCATTGCATCCTCACCTGTCAGTACAAAAGCCAGGCTGAAATCAGGAGCTGCATGTATTGTAAATGTTTGTGTGCTTAGTAAGTCATAACGCCCTTCTCTGCACACCAACAAGGAATCAATCCCATCACCCTCACTTTCCCTAAGGCTCTTTCCATGCAGCACGTCGATTATGCACCCTCTGAACAGGCCTGAGAAAATAATTTTATTGGGAGCAAACGTAAGAAGCAAAACTCCACCTTGACGTAAAGCCAATAAAGTTATACGAGGGATGACTTTTGCCCAGTCGTTCAAGCAAGCTCAAGCGTTCTTCTGCACTTTGCACCATTACGCTCACTTCTGCTTTCCTTACCAAAAAGCCCGAGCTGACAAACTAAAGTCGGGTTATTCTGAATGCGTAAAAAAAAAAAAAGTTTTAAAAATTTACTCAGCTGTGAGAGACGGCCTCTTTGCCCACCAGTACCATGCAGCAAGCTTGAATGGACGCTGAGTAAAACAGGCCGGCCTTCGTATTTCTGAATAACTTGCGCAAGCTTGAACGTAAGAGGATGTTTGGGTTTTTTAGCTTTTTTTTTTTTTTTTCCCCAACTGCTTCATACTTTCAGGTTGATTTTCTGAAGGTAAGCACTTCCTGAAGCCTCCTGCCTGCCCCGGCAGCTGGGGCGGGAGCAGAACAAAGCCCAGCGCGGAGCCAGCGCTGCCCGCCCAGCCCGGCGCCCAAACCCACCGCCGCCAACGCCGTAAGCCCGCGGGAAACGCCCGGTAGAGAAGCAGGTGACTGGCTTTTTTAGGAGGAAGGGGGGAAAAAAGAAAAGAAAGAAAAGAAAAGGAAGGAAAGTTAAATATTTGGGGAGGAGGGCAGATGCCGCAAAGGGTTAACGGAGCAGCTCCCTCTCGCTGGGAGCATTTGCATACCATTACATCATGCAAACCTACATTCCTGCGTTGACAGAGCAAGTCCAAAATATGCCTTTTGCGGTTGTAGGAGGTTTGGGGTTTTCCCCCCACACCCCGTTCCCTCAACAAGACGGAGCAGAATGAGCTCCCTGTAAGCTCGTAACTTGCCGACGTTCGCGCTCTCCTTTGTTGCGAACGCCTTTTAAGTGTGTAAAAGTTGCACAACCGAGTAGTTTAACAGCGTGTAAAGTTGAAGGTGACTCCGCAACCCCAGCTCCACGTTTCCCACTTTCATTCAAGAAGTTTAGACTAGTTTCCATTCACTTCACTCAGGAAACCACAGGCGACTCTCGTATTAAACTAACAATCAATTCTAAAAATATCCCTTCAGCTACTGCTTTGCAAACGGCAAACAAACAGACCAACTTTCTCCTCCAGCCCAGCAACAACCAGTATTTTAAGTAACAGTTTAAAAGCCAAAATGTTCATAAGACATCAGAAAGCATTCAAAAAACCAGAAACAGAAACATTACATATTAAGTTAAACTTTAAAAGGTCTTACTGTTTTGGAAAGCCATTTTCACCAGTCTGGTCTATAAGATTTTTTTTTCCTGGTGTTTCCAAGAATTCTTATTAGTCCTATTAGTCCTTAAGCAGTGATTTAGAGTTAATCTCCAAACCAGCACAAGCAAACTAATCCCTGTGGGTCATATTCGCTTTCCACACAACAACTGAGATCTTCTTAACATCTTGATCTCTTCGGATGTATTTTAGGACATGTGCAGCTTTGTCCTCTCAACTCAGATCAAAGTTCTTTGCAAATATGGAACAAAATTAAAAAATAAGGACTACATTTAAAAAAATAAATAAAAAGTCCCCTTTTAATCACTCTGCAGACATCCCTTTAAAGCTTCTGCTGATTGGATTACAGCCTCCCTTGGCAAGCCTCTTGAATGGTGACATAAATGCAGGCACTCCAGTTATTTGTATGTAAATAGGGGTGCTGCGAGGGTGTAGTTTTTCTGTAACTTGATACCGGGGCCGAGCCGGGAGCGCGGGG